TCGGGGTACACATTTTTGGGTGAATGGAGAAGGGGCTTCTCAACGGGGGACATTTTTTTTATCTAAGAAAGAAAAAGTTGGTGAATCAGTAGGGTAGATAGCTTTTGTCATACACTTAGATATACACTATGTCTATATACACAATAATATTAATGTATCGAGAAAAGCCAAAACATCACAGAATTTGGAACGGATGGAGTATGCTCTTAGGCTCTTAGCATGTACATATTTTATCACGTATAATTGTTGTCATCTAAAACAGCCCCCCTATGTTCGAATTCTAGCTCCGCCCCTGCACATATCGTCCGCGATCCGCCTGAAACCAAACACATATCGTCCGTGATCCGCCCGAGACCAAACGGATTTGCTGGTCTGGTGAGTGGTGACAACACAACATCACCTAGAGAAGCACTACTACTAGTCTATATAAGTGAGTACGTACTAGGTACTACCCCCTAAATAAACTATGGAATTACTTCCCCCTAAACATCCGATTGGATACCGATCCATCGGACGGTACAGTAGCCCGGCTGATTTGTTTCCGCGCGCGGTTGGACTCCGCGCCTGTGCCAGCAAGCCCCCGCCCGAGCCTGCTTTTCGCGCGTCCACTCGGGGCCCGCGCCGCGGGGGCCGTTCGCGCCTCCTTCCGCTTCCCACGCCTATCCAGTGTGCAACATCCAATCTATTTTTGAACATCTAGATGCAACACTTGCAACATACGTCTGAACATATATGAATCACTTGAAACATCCTTGTGAAACACTTGAAAAACATTGCAAACATACGCAATATCTAGATAAAACACTTGCAACATATGTGTGAAACATATGCAACATCCACATAAACACTCTTGCAACGTCCGTCTGAAAAAACAGATGAACCATTGGGGACAGACGCTTGCAATATACGTGTACAACCATTGCAACATATGCAACATCTTGATCTACTTTTGCAGCATCCGCATAAAACACTTGCAACATTTCTTTGCAGCATCAGAAACAATTGAAATGTACTTGCAACATGCATCCTATCTGGGTGCGGCTTCCTCCGCCGTCTGCATCGGGGCACCGCAGCCGTAGCAGGAGGGGCTTCCATGCCAGGGCCGACGCTTCTCTTTGCGCAGGCGGCGCCTGTTGGAGTCGTCGGGGGCGGAGCAGGAGTAGTGGGGCGGGCGCACGGAGCAGCGGCCCAGGCGGCAGAGCACAAGCACGAGCAGCGGGGCGGGCGCGCGGAGTAGCGGGGGGCGGGTGGCGGAGCAGGAGCAGGCGGGGCGGGCGGGAGGAGCAACGGAAGGGGCGGACGCAGTCGGCCAGCCCAGGAAGAGGAGTCCCGGACGAACGCCCTGCACACAACATTTCCGAATAAACTAGTATATATTATAGTAGTATATAGGCTAAACATGTGACATGTCAGCTGGATTGGAGCCAACCACAAATCGATAGGTCTGTCTCGCTCTATTGTAGGTCCGGCCTTGGCCTCGGCCGCGGTGCGTGGACTCTGGACTGTGGTCAAGTGTGGCGCGGGGCTTGGTTTAGTGGGCCCCATATGTCATCCACGTTCACCAGGCGCACTGAGATGCCTGCCAGCCGCTTCACCAGGTTGGCCAGTGCATTTGCAGTGGCATTAGGTGGCGGCGTGGGTGGCGCTGTGGGCTGCTTGTCACCGTAATCAGAGCCTGGCAATACCAGATTGATAGGATCGATGATCCTACGGCGACTGCGGAGGTTGTAGGGGAAGGTGGGGCTGCGTGGAAGAAGAGCGAGAGAGAGATGCTGGGAGAAGCCCAGCAACAAATATGTTGCTTTGTTTAATTATCTCAATCAATGTTTAGGTATATTTATCCCTTCCTAACAAACCAAATTTGAGATCTTATCTCCTAATTTTATGGGACTAAATAAGAAATAAACTAATCAAAGGGATAGTTGGGCCCATTACCCCTTGATGGCCGATGACCCTCCCTAGCTACTAACTCACTTGCGCCTCTCGTACTGCATGCTGGTCATAACATACGCCAACATGCTTTTTCCCATGTTACTGCATGTTCTTTGCATGCTGTGATAAATTATCATGCAAAATTTTCTGCAGCGAGGGAATTGAATCTGTTGTTGGCAAAGAAAACTTGGGCTCAGATGTTATGTGCTCAGCCTGTGAGATGGCTGTTGTGTGGATAGAGAACCAGCTCCGTGAAAACAAAACTAAGGAGCTGATATTGCAATATGCTAACCAGGTTACTGTGGATTTTCTTTTTGCCATTTGTTCAATTATATAATTTTTTAGATAATAAGTTCAATTATATAATTGGTGACAAGACTCTGCTTGTGTTCCAGCTATGTGAGCGTCTACCAAGCCCCAGCGGAGAATCAACAGTCAGCTGTGAGGATATCTCAACGATGCCCGATCTTGCATTCACCATTGCAAACAAGACCTTCACCCTAACACCAGAGCAGGTGCTTTCCAGTAGTCCATCATATATCGTTTTCAACTTATATTAGCATTTCTTCATTTTTATAAAATAAAGTAGCCAATTTTTTCAGCAAATGATGCTATCGATAAATGATTAATCAAATTTACTGAACATTTTGTAAACAAGATATATATTAGTAGGCTAAAACATTTTATACTTGATGTTTATTAGAAGGAACCTATCCTAGTTTAAGAAGGAATGAAGGATCCAGTGTTGGGGCAGTTAGTAACTCAACATTTGAGGGCAACAATTTTGAAGTCTTGAAGTGACATGATCAGTAGTTGACATTTGGAACCAAAAAGTGCCTAGTAGATGTATTGAAGATAAATTTATAGGTCTTATACTCTACATGGTTTGAAGTGAAGTCGTTCTAGTTCACCTCAAGTTCCTTTGTTATAATTTTCTTTTTTGAGAATTGTTATAATTTATTTATTTAGACAATCATTCCTGCAAGTGCGTACATCCCTCAAACCTTGTGAAACATGTGTTGCAGTACATTGTGAAGCTGGAGCAAGGAGGCCAAACTGTCTGCATCAGTGGCTTCATGGCATATGACGTCCCACCCCCGCGTGGTCCTCTCTGGTATATATGGGGGACATGACATTGCTTCATGCCTTGATATTTTTCTTCTACCCCATCTCAGTCTGAGAGCTTTGCATATGAACAATTGCAGGATTCTTGGGGATGTCTTCATGGGAGCTTACCACACGGTGTTTGACTTCGGCAACGACAGGATTGGCTTCGCGGAATCTGCATGAGTGTGGGAGCGCTCTGCTCTTCATGAAGATATTGTATCTACTAGGGATGTGTAGTTTCTCTATCCGCTACATGCAGACAGCACGCCGCAAATAAATGGATGGCCAAAGATGCTGAAACTGAAAATGTGAACAGAGGTTTCTTTCTGGACGAGCAAATGGATGCTCGAAGACATGTATGTATGCTTGAAGAGCAAATATTTGAACAGAGCTTTCTATGAAACTGTTTGTTCATGGTAGTACAACTTATCATTTGTAAAATAATTTCTCGATTGCCTTTGAACTGATGAGCATGTATAAATGCAATCTTCTTCTTTCAGTGGGATAGCTCTTGTCTTCTTGGCTATGGCCTATGGATTGACTTATAGTTGCTCAGCGTGTCAAAGTGTCTTAAGAATGGAGAGACTGAACATGGGCTGGGCCTGAACGATGATGCCATTTTTTAAGCCTGGCATGAGAGACAACAATAGGTGTATTTACTAACTGTAGTTTTTTTTTCCTGCAACAGTAGGGGCGATCTCCTGTTCTTTATTATATGTATTAAAATTAAAAAGGTAAAAGTTGAGAAATACAATCACCAGGAAAGAAACAAAGACCAAAATAGAAGGAAAAATAAACAAAACTACATCAGGAATATGTAAATAGGGCCTTGCCAAAACTGTGATGCAGCAGAGAGGTAGTGCCAAACACAAATATCATCTGGTTAAATGGGTTAAAATCTGTAAGTAAGAAAAAAGATGGTCTGGCATTAAAAACTCGGGCAGTTGAACATTAGTCTCCCACGTGAATGGTGCTGGAAGTTTAAACATGAGAACGTGCATTGCACGGATTTTCAGTAAAAGAAGAGGGAACATGACCAAGCGTCTAAAAATACAGAGCCCGGCCAAACAAACAGTGGCAGCACCCAGAAAGGAGAAAGAGGACTGCCACAGAAGCTAGCCCAATCAGTCATCCTTTATTTACCAGTTGTTAGGCTATTTGGACCGTGTTTAAACGAAGTTAAATAGTCTTGTATGGTATCATTGTTAAATATATATATTTACGAATGCAAAATTTAAATATACAAGAAAGTATTAATTTAGATCAAAAAGTGGTTAATTTAGATCAAACTTAAGGATTATCTTTTGTAATGGCAAAAAGTGGTTAATTTAGATCAAAATTTAAGGGTTTAAATTATTTTTCACAATGACAAAGGTGTTTATTTAGATCTTAAAATTTAAGATTTAGGTTTAAATTATTTACCTTGTGTAGTTTTCATAATGACAAAGGATGTAACAAGTGTGATTATTACGTTGCATAATTTTGTAAGGTTATCTTAAATTATCTTTTGAATGATGGAAGATTTAGTGTAATTTAGATACAAATTTATGGGTTACCAAGTGTTGCATCTGGATTTTCATAATGTTTCATCTATGCGATTTTCGGAAGATGTATGTTGCAAGTGTGATTATCTCGGCGTTGCATATGTTCCACAGTGCCCCGGATCGGATATATTAGTAAGTCCCAAAATTAAATTGCCTCTTTAAAGACCTCAATTATAATCCATTTACAACTCTACAACGTATATAAGAAGACTCTGTGGTATATTCTACAAAGCCGATGTGTGTATACGGATGTTTGAATGCTTGATTTTTTTCAAGTCATTTTTAAGGTGTTTGCAAAAGCGCATGCAATGTCACGTGCTCCGGCTGCCGCAGACTTGGCGGGCTCAATGCCGCCGCTACTGTTAGTCTGTTACCACCATCTCCGGCGGTGTACATGCGCCGCCCGGAAGCTGGTGGTCAGCATCCGGATGATTTGACAGGGCGGCCGCCAGGGCCGTGGTGAAGTTGGGGTCGCTGGTGATCGCGGCAGTCATGGTCTCCAGCGCCGACCGGCGCCTCCAAACCCAACAGCGTCGCCGCCGGCCTGTGCCCAGAGGCAGCAGGGAAGCCGTACATCGTGAACGGCGGCATGGCGGGGATGGGTGACAGCTGACGGTAGTGCTGGAGCAGGCCCGCGGCAGCCGCCGCCGCCGCCCCCGGCGGCGGCGAGTGCGTGAGGTCAAGGGTGATGGTGGAGCGTGCGCCGCCCATGGCGGACGCGTAGGGGTGGTGGTACTGGAAGAGCAGCGCCGGGGCCGCGACGTGGTGTCCGGCGAAGAGCGCGCCCGCGTCGTGGCTGACGGCCGGGCCCGACAGGAGCATGGCCGCCGCGGCGGAGGTCGTCTTGGCCATCGCCGCCGCATCCGGCGGCAGCTGGTGGTTGTGCGTGCCCTCGTACGTGGTGATCAGCACCGCCTTGTCCTCCGCGCACCGTTGCACCTGCACATACATATATGCATCGCACGCACACGTGTGTGCCCATTAGTTACTGATGACGTATGCTCATTTCTTGCATGCATGCAGATGCAGGCATCTAGCTCATCTCTAAGGGCCTGTACAACGCTATCACGTAGAAGTTTGAGCAAAATATTTTAGAGGGATGGTCGTCCGCGTCCGTCTCGTGAGAGGTCACAATCTGTAAACAGTTTGATCTTGTATTTGAAAATGTTCATTTGGGGACAGGTAATAAGGCTAGAGAGAGAGAGAGAGAGAGAGATAGGTAGGTTCAAATCAATAACGTATGCAAGTGTGCAGCCTGCAACGCTAACCTATAGGGGGTGTTTGGTTCTTTAGTCGCTGCTAAAATTCATGTCACATCGAATGTTTAGATACTAATAAGAAGCATTAAATATAGATTAATTATAAAACCAATTACATAGATGGAGGTTAATTTGTGAGACGATTTTTAAGCCTAATTAATCTGTCATTAGCATATGTTTCCTGTAGCACCACGTTGTCAAATTATGGACTAATTAGGCTTAAAAGATTCGTCTCGTAAATTAGTTGCAAGTTGTGCAATTAATTTTATAATTAGTCTATATTTAATACTGAATGCATGCGTCCAAATATTCGATGTGATAGAAATTTTAGGAGCCACCGCAGGAACAAACATGCCAGTAGTATGTTCACATTTAAATGTCATATCTCTAGCATAGGATAATGTCGTCAGAGTTGCATGCAAAGGTATATTCAAATGTACCTGCAGCTGGTTTGTTGGGTGCGTGTGCGTTTTCAAGTGCCATATTTGACACGTATATCCAAATATTGAAATGCAAAGAAAGTACTACATGTGTTTGAATTGTGCTGCGGAGCACGCAACGTATCAGACAACGGCATATAATAATACATACACCATGCGATCATTTGCTTGTTTATTAGCTAAGTACATACATGCATGTTGCATTATACCTACAGTTCGTAGGAAGTAGTAGTCGCCTCTAATTTAATTCAAATCAAGTATTGCCTTTTGTTTGGCACATTTCCTTGACCAATAGCTAGGAAAAACCTGTCCTTGTGATGGATCCGTCCTTGAATATAAGCTAACGGAAGAATGCAAAAAAAAAGGAAGAATGCACACAGTATCGTAACAATTCTGTCTTTGTTCTAAATTGCAAGTGGTTTTCGTTTTTTATATACATAATTTTAAACATGTATCCAGATATAATGTATATATCTAGATGTGTAAGAAATGTTATGTGTCTATAAAAGCTAGAAAAAACTTATAATTTGAAATGGAGAGAGTATTTACGAAGTAGCAACCGTACGTAATATGCATAGATAGACAATAGATTGTTAGTGTAGTATATACCTGCTTCCTGACTGGGCATCCTGTGGCCATTGTGCAGCGGTAGTAAGCTCTGGGGCATGGGTTACCCTTGGCCATCTTCTGTCCATACTTCCTCCATTGGCATCCATCTCTGATCTACACACATATGTGTACATATCCCCAAACAAGATTCGTTAAAAATTTGAGCAATGAAACCAGCATAAATATATTTGTGGATTTTGTACTTTTGAATCCATTCATATGTATTATATTCTAGCTATTTGCTGACAGCAGCAACATATATAAATCTGGATCTGCATTCTTACATACCATTGGGGCCTCGGACCGTGCGCGCACGGACACCCTTGCCCTCCGCAAAGGCGCCTCCGCCCGCTCGGCGTTCTCGCCGCGCTCAGGCGTCCTCATCCCATCGTTTTGATCCGCTTCACCGCCGCTGCCGCCACCGTCAGAATCCGCCTTGTCACCGCTGAACGCCGGCGGGGCCACCGCCGCCGCTCCTGCTATCGCCGGAGCCACCCGGCTGTGGTCCATTAACTGCACTCCCGTCATTGCCGCCGGTAGCATCGGGTTCGTTGCGCTGCTGCTGGCCTGCATCAAACATCGATCGATCGATCGATCTCCATCGTATCACTTGTCATGAACTACTCTTGCTCATTGCTTGGCATACAGCAGCACATAGCACAGAAGAGTTAGTTACTCCCTCTGTCCCAAAACATAGGTCATTCTCATTTTCCGAGAAGTCAACTTCTTTTTAACTTTGACCAATTATATATAAAAGAATATTAATATTTTATAATATATAAATAGTATCATTAAATAGATCGTTGGATATATTTTTCATAACAAACTTATTTGGATATATAAATGTTGCACGTATTTTTTCTATAAATATAGTCAAAGTTAAGAAAATTTGACCTACACGTATCATATAACGACCTTCTTTCTGGGTCGAAGGGATTATAAGAGAGTAGAGAAAATGGTGTGCGTATATATGAAAGCACCTAGATACCGGATCGGAAATGCATGGGGCACAGTGTAATGACCCCCAATATATGTAATGTTGACATGAACGAACATTCCAACTACCGTTAGTAAGTGAGGCTTTGCTGTCAAGCTTAGTTTGTGTTTGCACGCCCAAGCTGCTTTGGATGGCGAGATCTACATATACATTTACTATTTTATCTTCTATATCTATGCATATACCTAATATTAAAAAGCAAAATGATTCTTCCTTTGCGTTTTTTTACTTCCCAAAATACCCACGCTCTCCATATCATGTATATGTGATCTAAATTTAAGATCCGTGCTCATACGAGTTAGAGCAATTGGCGTCCAACGGTGGTGTACGGAGTACGACACTCCCAAGACATTAAGTTCTGTTACCACGCACAGACACATTTTTCTTGCTGTAGTACGTGTGTATGTGTAGTAGGTCTGTGAGGGGTGCACATATGGATGGAGCTGAGACACCTCCCTCTAATCCAAATTATCAATGCAAATGCATGGGTGATCGACATAGATTTGATTAGCCACCTAAAATCAGGTTTCCAATTTTTTCTCGGGGATGTTAATGCTTATTAATAGTTGAGCAGAAGAATCTCAATAGAAAGGAACTTGCATTTCAATTCAATACGGTAAACACTGTAGCTAGTGGCCACGGAAGTTAAATGAGGTGCCCATCTGAACCACTGTAGAGAATTAGCAGCATAGTTTTTTTTAGTCTAGCAGAGGTCGGCGTCGTGCGATGGACGTGGAATAGGCTAAGCGTTTCTACAGCTTTGTCTTGGTGTACCCACGGTCGTAAATTCTAGTATCGTATAGTCTTTTGAATGTGTTGTAGTTGCTAAGCTCTAGCTCTAGCGTGTCGATGTTCTTGGTTGGTCCTGATCGTTAGCGTCTTGCCAGTGGGTGCGGAACGGCCGGAACTCATCAATGTCGTGTAACTTTGTAACTTTCCTGTCGTCTTAATGAAACACAGGTTACGACCTGTTCGCAAAAAAAAGCAGCATAGTTGTTTGTTCACGTATGATTTGGGAAATGCTGGACAATGGGTCTAAATTGAGGGAATGCTAGCTGTTACAATGCATAATTTCTACAATCTCATCAATCATTAATTGGTCTAAACATCGTTATATAAATATCTTGGGTACACACATATAAAATTATTGGTTGAATCACTACCGGAGACCGGCTCTTTGCCGAGTGCCAGGTGGTTTGTCGAGTGTTGTTTTTTGGGCACTCGGCAAAGCGGCCTTTGCCGAGTGTTTTTTTTGACACTCGGCAAAGAGGCTTAACACTCGGCAAAGTGGCTCTTTGCCGAGTGTTTTTTTTGACACTCGGCAAAGAGCCTCTTTGCCGAGTGTTATTTTTTTGACACTCAGCAAAGAAAATTTCAAAGCATATTTTGAAGCAGTAAATTAATTCAAATAAAAAAGTTTTCAACTACAAAGTTGTATAACTCATCAAGATGTACAATGTTTGTTTTGGTCTTTTCTTTATATGACAAAGTGAAAGTAAAATTGTTCACAAATCTAACATATCTCTCTTGTAGTTTATGAAACTACAAGAGAGATATATAAGATTTGTGAACAATGTTAGAACGACCATATCGGATGAATAGATGATCAAACAACCAAAACAAACTTTGTAGATCTCGAAAAGTTATGAAACTTTGTAATTGACAACTTTTTGATTTGAAATCATCTTGTCATGCAAAACTGCGTTTGAATTTCAAAATTTTAAAATTCAAATTTTGTAAACGACCTCGGATGGAAAAACTTCCTAAACTAAAAGTGTAGATCTCGAAAAGTTATGAAACTCTGTAGTTTACAACTTTTTTAGTTGAATTCGTTTAGGGCCTCAAACATGTAATTTACACTTGGCAAAAAAAACTTCTTTGCGTCGAGTGTTTTTTTTGACACTCGGCAAAGAGCCTCTTTGCCGAGTGTTATTTTTTGACACTCGGCAAAGAAAATTTCAAAGCATATTTTGAAGCAGTAAATTAATTCAAATGAAAAAGTTTTTAACTACAAAGTTGTATAACTCATCAAGATGTACAATGTTTGTTTTGGTCTTTTCTTCATACGATAAAGTGAAAATAAATTTGTTCACAAATCTAACATCTCTCTTATAGTTTATGAAACTACAAGAGAGAGATATAAGATTTGTGAACAATGTTAGAACGACCATGTCGGATGAACAGATGACCAAACAACCAAAATAAACTTTGTAGATCTCGAAAAGTTATGAAACTTTGTAATTGACAACCTTTTGATTTGAAAACATCTTGTCATGCAAAACTGCATTTGAATTTTAAAAATTTTAAAATTCGAACTTTTCAAACGACCTCGGATGAAAAAACAACCAAAATAAACTCTGTAGATCTCGAAAAGTTATGAAACATTGTAGTTGACAACTTTTTGATTTGAAAACATCTTGTCATGCAAAACTGCGTTTGAATTTCAAAATTCAAATTTTGTAAACGACCTCGGATGGAAAAACTTCCTAAACTAAAAGTGTAGATTTCGAAAAGTTATGAAACCTTGTAGTTTACAACTTTTTTATTTGAATTAATTTAGGGCCTCAAACATGCAATTTACACTCGGTTTAGTATAATATATTGGGAACTAAAACGGAATGCAGACACAAGTGAGAGTGTGGTGTAGTGGTAGAGGAGGTACGTTGCGTCGGCCGCGTAGCCATGAAATTCACGCGAAAAATATCGGAGATGGGTGGGCGCTGACCGGTTCGGGCCTCCATCGATAAATTTTTTTTTTCCATTTTTTTGGGTAAAAATTCCCATTTTTTTCAGGTTTTTTTCGGTTTCAACTTTGCCGAGTGCCCGACAAAAGATACTCGGCAAAGACGCCTTTGCCGACAGTTTATTTGTCGAGTGTTCTTTGCCGAGTGCAGCACTCGACAAAGCCTTTGCCGAGTGCAAATTGGGCTTTGTCGAGTGCCCCTGCCACTCGGCAAAGCCACCGATGATTCCGTAGTGAATATATATTAGAACATGATCTAAATTGAGGAATCAAATGGACCCATAAAAGAAAATATGAGTCAAATAGCTAGGTAGGGTGTCAGACTGCAATTAATAATTAGTATATTTATATATATATTTGTATATATACTATATATGCGCGGGTTTGTAGGAACGATCGGTTTTATTTTGTGTGGATGTGAAGTAAATAAAGTATCAGTAGTCTCGCTTTGCTGGCTGCTCCATTCACGAGGTAGGATAGGAGTTTTTTTTTCTCTTTGTTTCTTTGATTATACATACTCCGTATAATAGTAACACAGAGATATTCAGGAGATCTTTAAATTATTATCTTTTTTATAACAAGACAAGTACAACGTTGACTAGGTAGGCTCCAATTAAGACGTACGCGTAGCCATTTGTTTTCAACAAAGTTTGAACACGAATCAAGCCACCCAATTTCTAGCTAGTTTAGGTTTACCATACCTGTTGTTGCTGGTACTGCTGCTGCTGGGCCTGCTGGGCTTGGATGAGCTGATGGTAGAGGGCGCTGTAGCTGCGGGTGAGCTCCTCCAGCATCCGCCGCAGCCGCCGGTTCTCCTCGCCGGCCTGCGGGAGCTCCCCCCTCCACCGCCGCCGCATCCACCTGTTACTCCGTTGATCACATGCATGTGTAAGAGTATCGGATCAGTCACCATGAGTACGTGTGCTTCTGCCGCGCTAAGATCAAGATCAATACACAAATTCTGATGTGGAAGGAGAAGAATGATGAACAGGGTCATACGAAACTCGCTAACCTCTTTATCACGACCACACGCCGTCCCATCGCCGCTGTCGACTGCTGCTGGCGTCGCCGCCGCCGCCCTGCAGGTCAGCAGGTCCAGTGCAGTCTGCGCCGGCATGAAACATGTATAGATTAAAGAACGTACACGCACAACAGCACAAAGGATCGATGATCAAGGCTCATATATTTTTTAAGATAGAGTAAGTATATATAATGGCAATATATCTTAATTGCAAGCACTGCACAGACATAATCGATCTCAATCAAGCTCGGGATCTCGATCTCGACGGGAGACTTACGTTGACCGTGGTGTTATGGCAACCGCGTGCCAGTGCTCCTGCGGCCTCATCTCGACCCCCATCGTCGTCGTCGGTCATGCGGCGAGCGGCGGCGGCGGCGGCGGAGAAGAAGTCCACCTCCTTGATCTCGCTCCTGCGCCCGCCGCCGCCGTGACCGAAAGCCGGCCGGTCCCCGTGCTCCGCCAAGACCATCATCATCTCCTCTTCCTGCTCCTCCTCTTGCTTCTCCTTGCTCTGCTGCTGCTTCGGGACCAAGTCCATGGATGGTCGGGTTGGAGCGAGAGGTATCAACCCAGGTAATGGTGAGGAAGAGACGGCTATATACAGCTCGGGACGACCTGCAGTGCCGTACTAGCTAGAGACTAGAGAGAGAGAAAAAGGAGAGGAGAGAGAGAGAGAGATGTCCAACTATGCAAGCTACTACTACAGTACAGTGAAGAAGCCGGAACCGTGAAACGGAAAGACTTGGACTTTGGACTTGTCCATAGGG